ACACACACACACACACACACACAGACACACACAGACACAGACACACAGACAGAGACACACACACACACACACACAGACACACACACACACAGACACACACAGACACACACACACACACAGACACACACAGACACACACACAAACACACACTTGTACATTCAGCAGTTTCTCACAGTATATCTCGACACTTCCTTCTCTTCAGCTCAACAAACAGCTCATATCTTTGTACTTCATACTCATTCGTTACAGAGCAGTGTTTGACACCAACACCACAGACTGTGACAGTGTGGAATCCCCACAGAAGAAGAAGATTCTTGGAAAGGGTCCAAATCAGGATTCAGTCAATGGCAGCAAATACGACGAGATGGCAGCTCCATCAGTGCTGTCATAGATTTGATGTTACACACACGTTTCATCAAATCAGTTCTTGTTTCCAATGACCAACCGGGGGCGCACTCCTCTGGCTGGTATAAAGATCTGGTTGTATAGAAGTGTATGGTAAAATGTTTGTAAATGAAAAAGTTTACATTTATTTATATAGCGAGTTTAAGGATTTAAAAAATAAAAGTAAAATAAAACAGTCACAAAGTGGTTTACAGAGGAAAAGCAGCTTGTGTAAAGTTAACCATGACACACATGTGCCCAGGCACTGAGACAGTGTTTAAACCTGTTTAAGGTGTGAGGAGTGGGTGGTTTGCTGCTCCACAGTTTTGGAGCTTTAGTAGATTAAAGTATATGATATCTAAAGATGGACACTCACATCCAATCTGGTCTGAAGGATGAACATCGTGAGGTTCCACAGTCAAAGTCTACAAAACTCACATAGACCAAGAACACCAAGAACACTAAACTTTAAGCAGTATGCTTGACAGAGCTTTGTATGTGTTCTGTCTGTAGCTGCCCATATTCACTATGTTTTCCACTTGTCTGTACCCTATCTCCATCGTCTGAACTGTAATGCACACTGTCAGTCACTGGACACCACATATACATGAACAACAGAGAATAAAGAACCATCCAATACACTTTTTATCACATTAAATGCTTACATTAGAACTAGGGATGGGTATCGTTTAGGTTTTATCCGATACCGGTGCCAAATCGGTACTTTTGAAACGGTGCCGGTGCTCAAACGGTGCTCAAACCGGTGCTTA